GTAGGGGCTTTTCTCATAAACACTCAAGGTTAAAGGAGTTTTCTAATAAAGCCTAAAAGTTAAAGGGATTTTTTATAATAATAGGGGGTCTTCTAATATTTTCAAAGTTAAGAGGGGTTTTCCAATAATCGTCCAAAGTTAACGAGGTTTTCCTGATATTTATCCAAAAAAGTACATGTACACTTTTTGTGGTCTAAAAAAGGACAAATTTTGAAAATAGACCTATTTACAAAATTAATTGTAAATTTCGACCCATTTTCAACTTATTTATCCAAATCGACCCAGTTTTAGCCATCTGGCTGAAACTTGGTCGATTTTGATCAAAAACTGTCCGAAACTTTACGGAACTTCAAGTCCCATGAAGTTTAACAGTCAACTACTTAAGCTGCGTAACTTCATGGGACTTTAACTTAAAATTTGTTTACGTACATAAAACTTTACGGGACTTGAAGTCCCCTGAAGTCTCTAGCCCATTTTCCAGAGAAGTTGCTCTCTAGAAAACGCGGAGGCCGGAAATTCTACTCAAACTTCACGAGACTTCAAGTCCCGTGAAGTTTTTTTCTAGTAAAAAATTTCACGGAACTTTAAGTCCCGTGAAAGAATTGTATCTCTTACTTAAATGTCATTAGAGTCTGCTAAACTTCACGGGACATGAAGTCCCGTGAAGTTTCATATTTTTTTTTTCAAAACCGATGGCTAAAACTGAGTCGGTTTTGATAAATAAGTTGAAAAGAAGTCGAAAGTTACAATTAGTTTCGTAAATGAGTGGGTTTTCAAAATTTGTCATCTAAAAAAATTACAACAACTATATCTTTAGGTAGGGTACAACATTAACGAAATTACAACAACTATATCTTGGGGTGGGGTACAAAATCACACAGTTGAATAGGTTCGTTTTTATCCGTTTATAGCATGGGGGGAAAATACATGTTCACCTACAATGACAAATCATAATAATACTAGTTCTTGAAAGGATAGGTCAAGGACAGCTATAGTTTTTTTATGTGCAGTAATTTGTAATGCACGATGAGCCTCACACGTATCAGCCGCACATGTTTGTATTTAGTTAAACTAACCTATGATTGTACTTATATTATATGGGAAAATTATAATTACGTCACTTCAGCAAACTTATTACCGGCTTGAAGCACAAGTGTTATCAATCTTAATTAATATCCTAAACCAGAAAACTACGTGATGTTTGAAACTATATTATAAAATGAGCAAAGCAATTTTGTCAAGTTTGAATGCAAGTCTGTTAAATAAACTATTAATAAAAAATTTAAAAAAAATAAATAAAGATTGCCGTCATGTACAGAGGCTTACATGGAGGAGGAGAGCAAGAACACAAGGCATTTCATTTTCTACTAAACGCATCACATTTTGTATTATATATATATATATATAACAGCAAACATAATTGAATCTTGCAATTAAATATGACACGGTTTGATCACAAGACATACTTGGCACTATTGGAAAGGTTCAACTCAAATTCAATTCAATTTAATTAGTCATGATAGTCATCTTATAATTAAGAACAAAAAAAATAAGATGATTAGTTTAAAAATTAAGAGCACAAATCCCTCGCAAAGTATAAATAAGTGGACCTAAATCAAGTTGGTAAAGGGCGGTTCCGGTCTCCTAAAAATAATTATTAATCTCCAAAAAAAAAAAAAGGAAAAACCAATAATTAACCTCCCTTTCTTTCTCTCTATGAAATATTATAATGTAACAGCAACAAATTTTAAGGGACGTGACATCTTATATATACTATTAAGCAACTGTGATCATTAGAACTCCATTGTTATCTCTCCCTCGATTCCTTAGTTGTGCTTGCACTCGTCCAAACACAATCATTCCCTTGTGCCCTCTTTGTCAACATTTCCTCTTCTTTTATCAAGCCACAACACCATCAATTGTCTTCGCACAAAACATAAGTACTCCCAATATCACTAAATATGTCTCCTATAATTGTAGCATTGCACCACAATGACATTCCGAGGCAAAACTCTGGCGACATTTCTTCACCAAAAACCCTGATGCTCACAAGCAACACCTCCAAAATGACCACGGTCTCCTCTTCATCCGAAATCGACGATACCTTCTCTCTTCCTCTCGTCGCTCGAAACTGGCGATCGCAAGCTTCGACGCTCAAGCTCGTGTTCAATCCGATATCGACCATCGTCTCGGCTTTCCGCTCCTTCTTTCCTACCCTCCAGTCCCTACTCATCCCTTCTTGTCACTGGACTCCCGTCACGCCAAACAAATCAAAATCCGTTACTACCCCTCGCGGCAGCCGCAAGAAAAGGCCGCTGACGGGCACGTTTTTCGGCCAGAAGAAGTGCAGGGTGAGCCTTGCAGTTCAAGAGACGCCGCGATCAGAGCCAGCCCTGCTACTAGAACTGGCTACCAACACTAGCCATTTAGTTAAGGAGATGGCTTCAGGAACTGTGAGAATTCTGCTGGAGTGCGAAAAGACGGGTAACGGAACCGCGAAAAGAGCTTTGTGGGATGAGCCAGTCTGGACTATGTACTGTAACGGGCATAAGCTCGGGTATGCGGTTTCAAGGGAGTGCACGGAGTCTGATCTGCACGTGCTCAGCACGGTGCAGAGCGTGTCGGTTGGGGCCGGGGTTATGCCACCAGCGTTAATGTTGCCGGCCCCAAAACAGAAGCATCGGGATTGTGCTCAGCCCACAGCGGGTAAAGAGATTATGTACATGAGAGCCAAGTTTGACAGGGTGATTGGGGGCAAGGACTCTGAAGCTTTCTACATGATTAATCCTGATTGTAACAGTGGGGGTGCAGGTAAGTTCAATGGTGGGGGGCCTGAGCTCAGTATCTTTCTGCTCAGGATTTGAACCTGTATTTTGCGGGCCGTAGGGTAATTAGTTGCTCCTGATAGGAGACTGAGCACGGGCTAGTCTTGTTTTAAGTTAATTGATCGCAGTATGATGCATATTTTGTACAACACCTGGAATTAGTTATCAATGTATGATATGGATGAAATGAAAACAACCCTGAAAATCTGCACCATATGATTTATCGCAAATCGGAAAGCTACAGACTTCAAAGAAGACAGAAGAACAAAAGGGGGCTGAACGACACTCAAGTACCAAATTAACCAAACCAATTTAGCCGAAGGAAATTGCTATACCAGCCTTCATCAGATTCATTGCTAGATCAAGAAGCTTTACTCAAGAGGACCATAACCTGAATTTTAAGACACAGATCCACTAAGCAGCAGATAAATTTGCTGGTGTTTTGTTTTACACAAGGGCATCTCAAGCATCTCAGGGCATAAAATTCACAATAACATGGAAATCCTGCTAGTATTCAGTAACTAAAAGCTTAGTCATTTATGTTCTCTAAGGACCTACTTGGTCCAGTAATACGTCGAAAAGTTAATAGCGAATCTATTTTTGCATCAATGTTCGGCATCAAGAAGTATCAGACTAGCCGTTTAGTTCACCCAACATGTCACCAAGATACGCTAGTTTTACTATATAGCTCAAATAAGAAACCTTTTAGCATCTTCACAACACTAATGCATGCACCTCCAGCATGATCAATACCCAAATATCAATTTCAAATCCTCAGCAAACACAGCTCACACTGATTTACACAAAAGATCAGACATAAAAAAGGGGAAAAAGTAGTGCTTCAATTGCACGAGAAACTCAACTTGCCAATCGACCTGGACCATGATCAATTTTGATCACATCAATCATTTTGGCTCGACAGGTTCCTAAATGTTATTGCCTCAAGACTTTATTCCGTCCAAAATTTAGCAACAGCATTAAGCAAAGATTTAATTGCTGCCCAAATGGAGCTTGTGTCTGCTGTCTCAGGCTTCTCGCTGCCATCATTCTGTGCGATGCTGCAATGAATAAAACACATGTAGGAGGATGAAAATTTAAAATAGTGAACAAAGCGGACATATAAAACAGAATAAACAAAGGTTCTGATGGAGTTTGGAGATAATAGCACAACAATGTCTGACAACAAAATTAAATAGTTCTCAAGCCATATAATAACAAGTCACTAACGGCTCTCCATACAGAAGGCTAAACTTTTAATAGAAAGAGAAAACTACCTAAGAAATTTGCTTCAGCAATGACAAACAAGAAAGCCTACGCTCTGAAAGTAATAGAGTTTGTAACATATTTGTTCATGCGGAAAAATGATAAGAAAGGCTGTTTATTTATTTATTGGGATATTTTATTTAAAATATGAATGTTTGAAATAGTTTTGTTTTGTTCCTTGACTTTTATAAAACATGAAGATTTTCTGAGATTGCCAAAAAAAAATGAAATGGAAGAGAAGAACAGTAGCAAAATGGTAATACTAGACAACTTTTTGTTATTTTCCTTCTGTGGATGTCTAGTCAAATATAAATTTACTGTATAATAATCAAATTGCCGCTGCCACTTGAAAGGGTATGCATTATTTACAGTGGATGGATATATTAAATAACTGAATCGATCAAGCCAGCTGGCTACTTCTTCCTTTCAGTACTGTGGTCTTTTACTCAATGATGAAGTAACAAACTTTCTTAAATAGATAACTAGGTATCGCAGCATTAATTACTCCAAATATTGTTCACTAAGCTTGTCACAATCACCAAATTTCAGGTTTCTTTAATTATAGTTCATATTAATACCTCCCAGAGTTTTTAGCACTTCCAATGTTGCTCAGATCTCGCTCATGCTCAGGCTTTACTTCAGAGCATCTTATACTTTTGACGCTAGGCTGAATTGGCTCACCGGATGCACTTTCAGTGTTGGTGAGAGCATTCTTGAAATCATTAGACGGAAGCAAGGAGTTTACCTGCATAAAATGTCATGAAAATTATTCAACTCATAATCTTTACTTGTAACATGTGAAATTGTTATACAGAAATAAAGACTGATTAATGAAAAAACAATTGCAAGAAAAACGAGCATGGACAGAGAATTAATTGATATGCCGAAATCAATGGTATTTCCTCCTCCAATTTCAGTCGAAAAAGACTGAAATAGATTAGGATATAAAGCTGTGTTAGTGTTGTTATTCTTCTATAGAAAAACCAAATATCCTGCCTTTAGGTGTTCATGAACCTACAAAATAATAATTTCTCCTCCCCCTTCAGCAATGTACTGACTTCAGGGATTTGCAATCTGATCCAGAACAAAAATCTCTAGGAGAAATGGACAAGAATTTATGCGCACCTTCAATAAATGCACGTGCAACTCTTTGAATTATGCAATTATTATTTACTCGTACATCTTAAAGAAATACTTCATAAGATGGTATCACAAACAACTTTCAACACATGCAAAGATAAAAATTAACTACCAAGTAACATAAAAGATGTAAACTCAAACCAAATATACAGCAGGCTATGGTATTGAAACTTACCAAAAGTCCCCTACCTCCCAATGCAGGGGACTCTAAGTTCTGTTGTATGGATCCATTCATTTTGGTTGATACTTCATCAATATCAGCAGACATTAGTGTTCCTGTCATTTCTGGCATGCCTGCTACAGTATCTTTTTCAAATGAAAGTTGTCTACAGGGGTTTGCATCTGATATTTCATCAGCGACAATGGATGATAGCGTTTCTGTTGTTTCTGACTTGTTTATGACAGAACCTTTTTCAAATGGCATGAATGCTACACTCACTTCATCAGAATCAGACGTTTTTGGTACCTCAAGGGAAGTTGTCATGCCTATTGAATTCTGAGATTTACCTGGATTGCTAGTCACGGCATCAGCTGATGATAGTGGACGATCTTCTCCACCACTAAGAGAAGCACAAGCTGTTAGTGGATCTGGACAAATACTGGTTCTGAAGAAGTTATCTGACAGTGGAAGAGAACTGCTTGGTGATGGAGAATCAATTGATCCTGTCATACCAATTTTGGAATCAAACATGGGATGAGTCATAGATGCCACCTTTTCAGAAATTTCTGGACTGTGAACTTGAACTTCAGCATGTGTTTGTTCAGAAACCTCTACATTATCATTTTCTGACCCTGATCGTTTGCCAAGGTTGTCATCCTTACAACTCTCCAACATTCCATTTAAAAGAGAACCATTGGAAATCCCATGGTATTGTTCGCTATCACTGCTATATTGGATTAGTGGAGAAGTCACAGAACCGGCTAGACTCTCAACCTTTCCAGAATTTTCTGAGCTGTGAACTTGAACTTCTCCACGTGTTTGTTCAGAAACTCCTAACTTCTCATACATCACCCCAGATAGTCTGCTAAGGTTGGGTTCCTCATAACTTAAATTCTCCAGCTTCTCATTGATATATGTACCATTAAAATTTTCATGGTATTCTTCACCATCCAGGTCAGATTCAGACTGGAGAGGAGTCGTAGACACAGTTTCATACGAGGGAACCAGTTTCTCAAACTTACTGGAATTTTCTGGACTGAAAACTGAAACTTCAGCGTGTGTTTTTTCATAAACTCCCAACTTTTCATCTCTTACCCCTGATAGTTCACCAATGTTGGATACCACATTACTCGCATTCTCCAACTTCTCATTTGGATAACCAGTAGAAATCACATGGTCTTGTTCACCATCCAGAACTTGTGATACAAAAGTAATATTTGGATCAGTTTCCATATATTCTTGGTTGACAGACTTCTCTATTTCGATAATTTCTGAACTCGTCCTTTTCTCATCATTAGACAAAGAAAAACTCTCTCCTTGTTCTTGGTTGACTGCAAGATTGATAGTTGATATAGACAATGGTGCGGATGTGTCCATGGCAAAAGAGTCTCCTGTCATTTCTTCGGGGCCATATTCAAGATTTAGTGCTTTGGAAGTTGAGTTTCCGGGACATAGAACTCTGTTCTCCTGAATGATCTCTCTCACAATTTCCCGTACAATATAAAAGGATCCACCAACTTCCTTGTGTGTTAGATTAAGTGATGGGAATTTTCCATTGTTCAAACTTTGGTACCTGAATGAAATTTTGTTCAAGTTAAATAATCAAAAATATTCAACAAAGTACCTTCATACAGAATCTTATAATGTTTCTGAGAGATTTAAACAGTACATGAAGCAAATATTTGAAGTTTTTCTTGATACAGTCCCCCAAATCTTTCATATTTTGACATTAGTCCCCCAAATCTTCCTATTTTGTATTAGCCCCAAATCTGTAAGTATTTTGAAATAAATCCCCTCAAATCTTCATATTTTGAAATAAGCCCCCCAAACCTTATTAGTGTTATGAAATTAGACCCTCTAGTTAACACCAGGTTGAAAGATCTGTGGGACCAGTTTCAAATAACTTAAAGGATTTGGAGGACTAATTTCAAAATATAAAGCTTTAGGGGCCTAATTTTAGAATATTTAAAGCTTTGGGTGACTATTTCAACATATGAAGATATGAGAGGCTAATGTCAAAATATGAAAGATTTGAGGGACTAATATCGGAAAAACCCATATTTCAAAGAAATCAAATCATGTGATCCATGAAAGCCATTCATTTCATCATCTTGAATTGGCATCTACTCTTATGAAGTATATGGGCACCAAATTGAATGGACCTCTATATGTTAAAATTACTAAAATGCTAGGGATTATTTTTAAATAAAAATAAAAATTTTGGATGGCTTTCTACCATCATCCATATGGACAATTACAATGAATAAAATTCTAAGTGCAATAAGAAAAGTGCTAGATTTGTTTACATGTATGCTATAGGTGCATTGGTGCCTTAGCAACTTCTAACAAGAATTACTATTTAATTTATTAACATAGGGTCTGTAATCTAATTATTTAAATTACAAGAACCTTAACAGCTTGCTTAAACAAAGGACTATCCACTGCCCCTGCACAGGATAAAAGGCTATAATATATGACCATGAAATCTAAAGATCATGATAAAAAATTAGATGATAGATATCGATTCTGGTCAAACCAAATAACAAATATATACAATCTCTTGTTCTATTATAAATCAACTTACCTTGACTAGAGATCTTTCCCAGCATTTGAAGCAAATATTCTCCCTCCAAGAACTAATACATGTCCAAAATACTCTATCACTCTCTCCCTCTTATTCATTTAGCTATTTTTCTGTAAACAAGTTTTTATAAAGAACCTGTGAACCAACTTTTTTTTGGGAGATAAAACTTGCTGACAAACTTCGCCACAAACCTATGATCTTACTTTGGGTCTGAAACAAATGTGACAGGATGCCTCTCATTTAGCATTGACAGAAGACATTAAACTAAATCATTCATATCATAAAGTATGATGCAAATTATCAAAACTCGGATAGATTGGTTCAGACAATTAAGCATGACCCAAATACAACTATTCAACAATTAAGCACCATAAGGAATTGGCACTATGCAGATAAATATGAAATCATAAAATATACAAGAAGGTACAGAGTGAATACTAAGTTCACAGTATTCTGCATGCACCTTTATACAATTTACGCATTATGCAATACATTTCGAAAGAAAACACAAAACAGATTAGAAGCCTATGAAACCTCGCTGGCATAGGAAAATTGCGAGTCGCTTACTTCTTTACAAAGGACTCAACCATCGTTTTCCTCTCCTCTTTTGTTCGTCTACTCCGTGGCTTCTTGTCGCCAGAATCACTGCTACTGCATCTAGCTATACCAAATGTTCTCCCAGCCCAGCTACAATGTACGGACTGCATTTTTTTAATAGAAACTCACGGCTCCCTTCTCCTTCGAAATTGAGCTGAACCAAACAAATTGCGTTGATTACTGCTCGAGGCAATGATTATGAAATTGAATAACAAAAACAACAACAACAACACAACTCCATTTCTTGTAAAAATTCTTCATAAGATTCGTAAATGCAACAAAAATAACGAAAAATTCGAAACAAAAGGATAGAACTAACAAATGTCTGAAAAAATTATGATTTTGCCTTAAGTGGGAGAAGAAAAGCAAGAGACTGACCCAGAGAATCAACGGAAAAAAAAAAGAGTTTGGTACGGGATTTTTCTCAAAATTATCAACTGGGATGGAAAATTGATAGACAAATAAGATTAAAGAAAAAGTACCTTGGATCGTCTCGATGGCAGCGCGATGAGGGGAGATCGGTGCGCTTGGGTTTAGGGTTTCAAGAATTTAGCGGGGGGTTCTCCGAGTGAGCGCGCTCCTGCACTTAGTTCGTTTGGTCCTGTGTATTAACCGGGTTCGACTCCTTTAGGGTCAGTTTGGTTCGATAAAAAGACAAGTAAATCAAAGAAAATGTAATCTATTTTCTATAATAGATTCTTTTTTTTTTTGTATTTGGTTCACTTCTTAAAAGAAAAAAAAAGATGAGATAAGATGAGTTGTCATAATATTATTTGATGATGTGGGTGATTTTTAAAGAAATAAATTATAAGAAATGTTTCGAGGTTGTTTGGTTGGCTAAAAAAAAAGAAAATTAATTATAAGAAATCTATTTTTTATAGGAAAAATTGCTTCAAGGCCTCAAAATTGAAAAAACAATGTGCAACAGCCCCCTGTACTTTTTCTAATATGTTTTGGCCCCAATTACACTTTCCAAGATGTGTTCAGCCCTATTTATACTTCCCAATAAAAAAAATTTCAAAAAACCCCAAATTACCCCTCTTCTTCTCCTCCTCCTCCTCCTTCTCTGTCTGTCCTTTTTTCCATGGAGACAACAACCTCCTTCTCTCCTCTTTGGTAACGAGGGTCTTCTAGGGTAGGGGGAAGGTGATGGGGATAAAAGGAGGGAAGACGAGGTGGTGCTGAAACCGACGACGGCGGCGGCGGCGGAGACCCTGTTTACACTTCGTCAACTTCCTCGACTTCGACCTCTACGCCCTCGAACTCACTGTCGTCCACTCCAACTCCCACCTCCGCAAGCTCCTCATCTCCACCTCCCCCAAATCCGTCGTCATCGTCGAGGACGTCGACTGCTCCCTCGACCTCTCCAACCACAAGAAACCCCTCTAGCCCGAAACCGACGGTGGCGACAACGACTCGCCTGACCCCACGAGCAAATTTCTTGCTGTGACAATAAAGGCAGATAAGGATGACACCATGTCAACTTCTTATAAGGGAGACTTGTTTTTTTGCTTTAATGTTGATGATTTTCCTGAGATTGCTATCTTACCTCCACTTCTAGAAGGAAATGAATGGTTCTATTTAGTTGATACTTCTCTTCCATTTCCAGGGTTCTTTTCTAGATTGTCTTCACTGAGGCTCGTTCGGGTTATGAACTGAAGCCTCACAGTTGCGCTTTGTTTGAAGTTAAAAAGAGTGCCAGCTGAGTTGACATTAATCTTATGTCTGCTACTTAATTTTTGTTTATGTTGTCAGGAATAAGATGAAGTAAATGTTCATCTGAAGTGTGCAAATAAAGTACATATATTTATTTATATTTTGTGCATAATTTTGATTCTTATTTGAATACATGTAGTGTGACTGGGAATAAGCTTATATTTTCATCAGGTATGTTGCATTATCTTCAAGAGAGCTTTCGGTAGAGGGCTTATATCGGTTAAAAGCTTTACACTTTGTTTGATAGTTATTTGAAGTTGTATCTTTATCTGCAAGGATAAATGTTTTCTCCCAGATTCCATAGAACAAATTGTTTCAAAATGCTACACGTGTTAGGAGATTTGGTTCTTATTGGCATTTTCTCTTGATGAAGATTGGTACCAAGGTCAAGAGCGGGATTCATGCATAATTGTTAATGGATTGCAAAAATTGTTGTTCAGTCAGGGCTCATTATTCTGATGTATATCCCACAGTCATAGCTACAAATAACAAAACATAAATACATATTACAGGTCACTTTTGAATGTTGTTATACAAAATTAAGATATTAAGGAAGATCGGTCTTTAACATGTGAACATGGTTCAAGTTCATATAGTTAATATTTTAACCATAATATTTAGCATGTTAACTGTTGTGGTTAGCATATTAACTCTTGTGTTTAACATGTTAACTCTTGTGGATAACATGTTAACTCTTATGGATAACATGTTAACTTTTGTGGATAACATGTTAACTCTTGTGGATAACATGTTAACTTTTGTGGATAACATGTCAACTCTTGTGGATAACATGTTAACTCTTGTGGCTATATGTTAACTCTTGTGGCTATATGTTAACTCTTGTGGATAACATGTTAACGTGTTATATGTTCAATCTAATTTTCCAATATTATTTCTGATAAATTATTTTAATTATATAAAAATATGCGTTTAGGCAAACAAGTACTAGAAACTTATATTATATAAATCATGACCTATATATCATTCCAACAAGCTTGCGGGTTCGGAATATTATAGTTAACGTGAAAAATCTCTAAAGTTAACAATACAAACTGGCTGTATTTAAAAATTATCAATTTTAATAGAAAAATAGAAATTTTGAGTGTTTGACATAATTCAGAGGCGGATCCAGCATGGGGCAATGAGGTGAACTGCCATCACTATTCTCAGAAATTACTTTAGGATCTTCATTACTCCTGGATAATTGGCTTAGAACCCTTGGTAAATTATTTTGGGACACATGTAAATCAGTTTAGTTAGATTTATTTAGTAAAATACTCAAACAATCTCAGCTCTCATCGCGTCACGTCATGCAAAACTCTCCCACATATCTAGCATCGAAGCCGCATTAAGTTGCCACACCCCTCTCAATTTTTAACTTTAGTAAAACTAGAGCAATGGCTTCCATCCAAACTATATCATACTTTCAATTTCCAGTGTTACCTAAGCTATATAGTGTCCATTTGGGGTAAAAAAAGTTCTTGACTTATGGATGAAAGCTCAATTTTTTTCTCTACGGAATAAAATATTTCAAATTTGAAACTTGTGCTCAACTTTTTAGTGCCTAATCTGAGTAAAATTCTGAACTTCGTCCCTAGGTAATAACAATATAATTCTTACAGTGTGTTTAGGAGATGACTTAGGGAAGGGATTGAAGGAGAAAAATTCTCATTCCTTTTCTTCCCCTTCATTACAACTAATTTGGGGTGTAAGATTTTGACTTAAAATTCCCCCCATTTTTCTCCTCTACTCTCTTAAATGTAACTCCCAAACAATGTTAAAATTAGATTTGTCTTCTCCTCCCTCTCTCTACCCTCCATCCAAACACGCCATTAGTGTGCACCACTCCTCTCAACTCAACATGTTCTTTTGAACAGTGATTGAAGTTTGCACGTGCTGACATCGACCGAGAGCCGGAGAGGTTAATCTAGTAAGTGGATAAATGATTTAGAGACATAAATTGATAAATAACAAGTATTACGCGTAATTTTTCAGTACTCGGACGAGGGTGAAATAATGCAAAACCTCGATAGCGCAGGACTTTTTTGACAATAAATTTACCCGAGGGAGAGCGAATGACAAGAGCGACGCCGCCTAGGGTTCTAAGGTGCCGGTTTCCCCCTCCCCCGCCGAAAAAAAAAATCGGTAATTCTCGCAGTAATCTTCAAGATTTTATCATATTTTTTTTCCCGTCAAATTAGTACTCTCCATTGTCGATTTCTTGCTGAATCTTCAGTTTTCTCTTGCAATATTCTTGTATCTAATCTGCGAAATCTTACCTCCCAGCTGAATAAACAATAAGATCCCGAATTGATATTTGACTCATCGATCTGTGTTTATTTTCCTCAAATGCTAACTAGTTTTGAATTCATAGCTGCGGTGCGATTTATCTTCATTCCATTTGTCGATCGAAATCAATTCGCTGGTCCGCTTTTCTCCACGACAACAGCTTAGATCACTTATATAGTGGGAATTCTTTTGATATTTTTTAGTTACCTCGTTACTCCATAAACAGTAGCTTGAATCCCTGACAGATTACGGCAGCGGGCGGAGGGGTAATATTCGTGCGCTAGAATCTCAGTTCGAAGGCTATCTAAAATGACGCAAACCTCAAGAAGTGACGGGTGTTGCGGACTGGTTTTCGTTATGCTTGGCATTATATCATTTCTAGGATTTCTGTATGCCGCCATCCTGTCCAAGCTTCTTCCGCCACCGGAGAACCCATTTTTGTCCGCCATTCAGAATGACAGGTACTTTTATAGCATTTTTTTTTACCCGTAAATTGAATTTGCCTGTTGTATCTGAGGTGCACGAGCTTGAATTATTGGTGGTTTAGCTAATTGTCTTGTAAGTTCACCACATGTTCTCTTACCTTTTCTTTTCTTATGTATGACAATTTACTTGCAAATACTTGGTTTTTTTGCATAAATGGCATTGTCCTCGGCCTGCCATCGACATCGACAAACACGGGCGTCAGAAATACAACTAGAAGTGGATGCAGAAAAAGAAATTTCCGCTATGTAGCGCAATACACGGAGAACCTTACTCTGTGGTCAAGAAACAAGAAATTGCCTTAAAAGATTTGCAAATTTATCTGATATATAGAGTAAAACATTTAATGGAAATCAAATATTTAGGCCTATAACTCCTCGTTTCAATAGAATCCAGATTGTTGCCTTCAGCTACTAGAAACTAAACCTAATCGAGTCATTGAGGACAAACCAAACAAGAAATAAGCCTCATGGGTGAATTTGTATGGAGTCTGCTTGAAAATAAACAACACTATGTGGAGTATAGTTGTTATATCTGAGAGCATCCATCATACCAGGAATATAACCGGATCAAATTCTTATAGTTGTTCAGGGTGTTAGCTTTACAATAAAGACATGGAACTTTTAATGAGAGAAGACAAAGAGACTGAAGTTTCTTTAATGAAAACTATGTATCAATAGAGGTGATTGGAATGGTCAATGGAGCACTAAGGCAAAAAAACAATTTTAGATAGTGTATATTTGGATTCATTTGGTGGTTTACTAACTATAAGAATATTTTTGTCATTTATTAACCAGTTAATGCCATTCATTAGTTTTTTATAAACACAAAAGAACATGGTAATTACTAACCATTGGAATTACAAGGGGGAAGTATAGTAGTTTCTGATAGTCTAGCTATATAAAAATTCATTTTCATAAAAATTAGGGACTTTGGCACCTGTCCTGGGCTTTGGATTAACAGAAAGATGGGAAACACAACAAGAGAAGGTGGAGAGAGAGAAAATGAAGGAGTTTCCATTGTGGTGTTCTCATATCATTCTGTGATGCAAAACAAGGGGTTTTTCTGTGTTTGTGTCTGCGTGTCTTTTTTTTGTTGGTTGGGGGGCTCTTGATTGACTGCAAGGTGAGTTAAATAACAATGGATCTCTATGATGGAGTGCACAAGTTGTTTCTACTTATGCATATGTTTATGTTTTCTTTCTTTTTTATTCCCAGGAGATCAAGTTATCTTTCTAATGAAATGCTGGGGGGCTTAGACCTCACAGTTTCTCTCAAAAAGAAAAAAAAAAGGGTAAATTACACTAAACCCTCAATAACTTTAATTGTTTGCAGTAAACCGCCAATAGGTTTCAAAATCCCACCAACCTCTAATAAATTCTACAGAAAACCCCAATACCTTTTGGGTAAATTACACTAAACCCCTCAATAACTTTCAAATGCTGTTTATGTTGTTTTTTGGTTCCAATTTATGGGGTTTATCTGCAAAATGCAGAAATTTATTTGGGGTTTATTCTGCAAAATGCAAAAGTTATTGGGGTTTAGTGCAATTTTGAAAGTTATTAGCGTTTACTGCAAAAAAATGAAAGTTCTTGGAGTTTTTTGTAATTTACCGTAAATAATTGTGGAGGAAGAGGACAACAAGCAACAAATTTTGACTCCGTTTTCCCCTTATCCCTCTGCTTATAATCTTATCCAATGTTAAAGAATATTAGAAAATTGGATACTACATTAACACTAAAAAAATAGCTGTATATTAGGTACTATCTTCTCGTAAAACATCAACACTAATGATGGATATACAGCATCATTATTAGAAATTAAGATATGAGCATGATTTCACACAGCTAAAGTGGCATAGTCTCTATTATGGTTAGTGATATGATTACTACCTAGGTTGTCATGATACTCAACGATCCACCTCTAGTTTTAAAACTAAGACAATCTCACCATAAAAGGTCTTTGCCAGATCTCTTGGAGAAAAAGAAAGCTGCATCCTAATTAATATCAACTCCACCTAGCCAACTTTGGTCAGGTCTTTGAACATGCTGTCAACTGGCTGTCCATGATGCGGTAATACAACTTTCCACTTGAAGTGATATCATTGTGGGGAAGATATCACATCTAACTGATGATTGGATTGTTAAGTCCTAAGTCTACTTATGTGCCTTCACATTTTTTCTACTGGGCATCATAATGAAGCCAGAGGCAGAGGGTAAATCTGGCTGGAAAATTTCTCTCTTCAAATTGTAGAAGATGGAACATGGATTTCATCTTGCCTGTAACAAGTGGAGATGTGGCTATTCTGATTTGCAAAACAAAACCCGTAATTTTCATGTATACCCTCTTGTTTTTCAACATGAAGAATTGCAGTCCCTTGAAACGAAAAATGATTATTACAACACACATGTACTGTCAAATAATACCTGATCAGCAAACAGATCTTGTTTTCCCATTTCCTCCATCTCCTTCCACTGTATGCATATGGCAAGCTCTGTAAATTGGTTATTGGCTTAGTTTTTTTCCTGCATTGAAATGTCTGCTTATATACCATTAGAATTTGTGTAATTTAAATTTTACCTAAGCATTAGTTGATATAGAGGATCGACTATGTTTGGAAGCTGGCTCTTACTTTTGGAGATCAATCCTGCTATCTGGGTGTACATCAAAATTATTTCACACTTGTCTGTTGACCTTTCTTCCTCCTTTATTTGTTCACCGATGTGCTAGTTAATCTTCATAGACAACATCCTTGGTCTCACCAAAAGCATCCTTTGTTAAATATATCCTAATACATCATAATCTTTTGGAAAGTTTGCTGAACTTAATGTGGTTTGCATTAGTCTCTTCAGTTGTCATGCTATTATTACATCAGTAAATACGTTAAAATTCAAACACTGTTTTATTTTTGCTTGACTTAAGTTTCTGTTTTCTGCTTTGCTATAGAATGTTTTTTTTTCCGACAAATATTTACCAGACAATAACCTACGGAGTTGCTCCTTTGCGAGCAATGTAGCCAATGAGATGTTTTCATTGCATTTAGTTTCTTCTCTTTTTGGTGGATTGGGTGAGAATTTATTTTGTTCAAAGCAATGATTCATCAGAACCTTTCTTAATCTAGTTTCTATTTTATTTGTTTTTAAACAGGTATTATTGCTTATTGCTGCCCTTGACTCTTCCAGTTTTGGTTGTTGCTGTATATTTGCATTGGCTCAGCATGAAACTTTTCAGGCATGCATAACTCGATCCCATTCCTCATGTCTCATTGTTCTTATTCTTCTACAATCAAGTGCACTTGACAAGGTGGAGATGTATAACTCTTGCTAGGCAAAGGATGCAAGTTAAAAAAAAATTCTAGCATAAAAGAAATTTAAGTATACTGGTAACAGGTATTAAACTCTGCTAAATCATCGCTATATAAGTATTGGTAAAAATTTAGCTGAAGCTGGAGAATAGAACGATGCAATCTAACATGATTGCGTTTAAATAAGCAAGGAGAGGATGTTTCTGGTACTATCTTTGAGATGCGCAAATGTTTTGGGTGAGAAAAAGAGTTGATGAAGGGAGTCGCCAGAGCTGAGATTTGTTGTTGTACGGGCTCCTTTGATTCTTTGGTCGGCGGATTTACTGATGGAGACCCTCCTACAAATCACTGAGGAAACTGTTAGAAGGCACCGATGCCGGACACCCCGATGACCCTCTGATGCTTAAGTCAGTGATTTTAGGAAGATGATAGTGAAAATCCATTCAAAGTTTAGAATGAAATCAGACTTATATTTCTTTACTAATGTTACCTCTATTAATGCTAATTTGGAGGGGTAAATCGGGGAGAGAGGGAGGACTATGTGGCATCTATCTGGTCTACTCAGCTAAGTCGTATGGAAGCTTCCTGCGTAATTGAATTGTCCATTTGTCCCTCTGGTGTTGGCCAAGGTAGTTAGGATGTCTAGAGAGGCCGTGGAGAGAATCATTTTGATGATTGTAATGCCGCCCTCATGTGAGTTAATCATACCATGTCACGTGAAGGGAAAGTGCGGTCGTCTTGCCTTGGCGAGCAGGGTATTTGGGCGCAGCTCAGACAATTTGGTATAACTTTGGACGAGCAGAGGTCGATCCACCTTAAACAAGGGATGGGTGACCATGCCGCCCGAGACATCATCAACTCGTTAAGTCTGTGTGTTCATGCTGTTCGGCTCTGTGTCCGGACTCTTAGTAAGACACGAGACATTGTCTTGTTGGCAGTTTTTCAAAGCTCGGTTTTGTGGCATAACAATAATATTAGATTTAAACGTGTTTCTTCATTAAAAAAAATTGCTGTATCTAAATGTTGGGAAATTAATATCAAAGTCAAGAATGGGCGCTTGAAGATCATCTTGGAATTGGAGATTAGAATGTTGCCTTGCAAGTGTTTAGCTCCACATTACCGAGCTTTGAAAAACTGTTCTTGGGGTTATATAATTCTTTGACAATTGTTCCTGTATCGGAGATTCTAAGAATTGTATCGACTGGTGTTGGGAGTTGTCAAACACATTGTGGATGAGTGAGGGTTTGACTTTGTAGATTGTTGAAAATGTGAGAGAGAGAACTCTCTCCTGTATTTTGTACTTATTCTCTCGGTCGTTTTATCTGTGAATGTAGGCTTAAGCCAAACAATTCGTTAATGTCTCATGTCTTTAGAAACTACGAAGTTCTCTAGCTTGTGATGGAGGGAATATCAACGGAAAATTTTTCTGTTGGCATTCTAGCAGAACTAGGTGATCTCCTTTATATTAACGGCAGAAGATAACTCATTAAAATTGAAATAATTCAAAACGTCAAAGCGAACAACAACTCTTGATAAACACTTGCAGCTTCTTTATTGGTTTGTTACAAAAGCTTTTCGTTTCTTTGTAGTCTTTTTAATGTGAGGCGAAGACCTCAAGAAAGAAACTTAGCATTGTGTGTATCTCTCAAGTCAAGAAGAAAAATACAGCGAAATTCTCCTGGGAATCTAATAGAGACTCATTAGAGCATAACTCTTGCAACTTTTCATGAACCAAAACAAACTATATCTTGGATAAATACAAATGCAAACTGCCATAATAGTTACCGGAACATGAAAGGTTCTAACTACTTCTAAGAAGCAATTTTACGTGAGGAACTCATGATGTATTTTTGAATTATTCACATCTTGCATGTTGTATATGATAACTAGTCTTCCCCACGAGACTAAGGGTCAGTTTGGTGTTATTAGAGCCTATAATAAGTTGTAGATAAACAGTTTATAGAAACAACTTATATAAGCCGTTGAAAATAGCTGTTTCGCGTCATATATCAAAAGCTGCTTCCAAAAATAGCTAAGATGTTCGACAAAATCTTGCTTAAAGATTATTATAAGTGAAAATAACTAAAATAAACATAAGTTTAACTTCATATTTCTCAATAGTAAAAACATTGACAAAAACTAAATGATATATATAGCAGAAAAACTACAAAAGGCAGAAGCTGCTTTTAAAACATTATCATATTTCTTTTAAAACATTATCATATTTCTTTTAAAAGCGTATCTTTAAAAGCAGAATCAGTTTTAATGAGGATGTAAAAAAAAGTTTTACCAAACACGACTAATATCTTCTTCTTTAAAAAAAACAAGGAGAATGTCCTAAAAAAAATAATACCAAACTGGACCTTAATTGTACAAAGTTTCTGTAATCATATTTTCAAAAAAATTATGATTTCTATAGTTTTATTTTTTTCGCTCTAAGTTATAAGTAGAAGTATTATTAAAATAACAATTGCAAAATGTATAATTTTTGTAGGATTCCAACTTCCAATCAAGGTTCAGAAGAGGTAAGGTGGAGAAAAGGTCTTCCTTATAAAACGTAAAACGGCTCTTTTCAAAATATTTCCCCATATCAATTGTTCCCTGGACAAATTTTTGAAAACAACCATTTCTTCAAAATTAATGAGCAAAATCGACCTTTTCACAAAAAAAAACAGCAAAATCGACTCTTTTCATCTCAACTCAAATGAAAAGGATCGATTTTGCTGCGGGTAGTTTTTTGAACTACACGGGACTACTAGTCCCGTGTATTTAAGACATGCTAATCGAGGATTAGCATGCCAAACCAAATGGACGGGACTAGTAGTCTCGTCCATTTCATGTCAAAGCTCATCTACGTCGATGTCTCCCCCTTCGGAGGATCAAGTACAAGCCTCGGCCTCTCACGCACATCACGATCCCCAACATTCAACATCATCCTCCCTCCTCCTCCTCCTCCTCGAACC